GTTTTGGTTTGTTTTTTATTTTATTGCTTAGTTGGCATAACATGTTCAGTTCTTTGAGCTCAGTGTGGTTCCAGAAGATTCAGACTTGTGGAAGCTAGCACTTCTAGCATATTGTTTTTAAAGCATGTTGAATTCAAACTGTAATGAAAGAAATTAACAAATTTTGAAAACTTCCTATATTTGGGTGAAAGTTACTTGGACCTGTACAGTTTAGGTCTACAACAGTGAAGGGGAACCTATGGCAAATGGGCTTAATTATGCCTGGTCTGGGTTCTAATTTGGCCCATAAAGCTTTCCCCCACAGGTCATGCCTACCTGTCATTATAATGTGATGCCAGGTGTAGGGCAGGTACAGACATGTCCACAAAGGAGCTTGGCGAGTGGGACTTGTTGGATTCATGTTGAAAGCTCCAATTTAAGAAGCAAGTTTCATTGATTGGCACTGAGAGCACTCCTTCAAAGGAGCTTGCTCCATTCAGTCAAAGGGAGGCAGCACCTTTGAAGGGCACACATTCAAGGGAGTTCACTCTGATCTCTGATCAGCTGATGAGTGTTTGCAGTAACCCCCTTTGAACTTTGGCAGGTGTCTTTCCACATAGGTTAACTTGTGTTAAAAAAATTTAAAACATCAGCATAAAAGTAATATTGTTGTAATCATTCAAGTCTAATGGTGCTTTCAAAATATAGCAAATATCTAGTTGCACCCAAACATGTGCCTTGGAGGTTGAGTTGATGCTTCTTTAATAAAAAATGTGGGTATTTGTGTGGGGGAAGCAGTGGGAGAGTGGGTCTTCCTTATGCAACAATAGTGAATCTCCTTGCATCTTAAAGAGAGGCAGATTTATTATTATTTAAGGTACAACAAAATTCAGTTTTGTTTTTGCTGCAGTTGTGGAGAAAATAACTCGCAAGGTAGTAGTATTGAATGGAAAAAAGCAACCAGACGTTTTCTGTGCTAGTTGGTGGCCATTTATTACACATGTTAATAGGTCCGCAATGCAGAACACCTGTGTTGGCTGCATCAGTAGAAACTCGGGTTTCCTGATTGGTTGCACTTTATTAAAACTATGTTTGTGTGTGTCCTATCTCCTTTGGGTGACAGAGACTAGGATGATATGATATGTAAGAACCCTGTTGAAGGAATGACAAAAATAGATAGTAAACAAACATAAATGGAAGATCATACAACAGAATATGAATAAGAATACTTGCCTGGCTTGCTGTGTTTGTGTCCAGTATTTTAAGAGTGATGAAGTGAAATATCTTTTAAAGTAGTATTTTAAAACAATGTTGTTAAAAGATATTTATTCTTCTGTGAAACTCCTAGATCCACGATAAGATAGTAAAAGTTAGTGAGGATAGTACTGCATTCTGTCAGGCTGCGAGCAGAAGGGCATTTGGGGAAACAGGGTCATTCCATCCGTTCTGTTGAGAGACTAGCAAGTCCTTTCTCCTTTCTCCTTTAACTTTTCATTTCATCTGGTTGCTAGACTTGTAGTGTAGACCTAGTGCCTGAGTGTAGCTTGCCCCTGCTCCCCCCCCCATATTTCTTTTATTTCATGTCTTTTGAAAAGTGTAAGCCTGAGGGCAGGGACTCTTATTAGTGATTTTTTAAAGCTGGGCTTGGAGCATTTTCACTGAAGAGCACATGGAAAAAACTAATGCTAATATAACATTCTTGTTCTGGACCTTAGTAAAACAATCGACATTCTTAGTGAAGAAACTAGGAATTTACAAAGCATCATTATATAGTGTCAAGGCCTCTAGCACGTAGCCTTGGGTTTTCCTTTGTTCTCCATCTGCCTTTGTGAGGTAATTGACCTTCATTATCTGGACGATCATTGCAAACAGATTCAGGAAACAACACATGGAAATGTTGTGAAGCTCTTTCATTCATATCTTTGCCCCCCTTCCCCCATTTTTTCCTGGTTTGTGAAAACTGAACCTTTTCCCAGTCCTCCACACTACGTTTAGAACATCGCGAGAAAGCTTAACTTCCTTCTCATCCTCACTTTTCCTGATTTCCCGCACTATCAACTGGAGTTTGTTATCATATCACAAAACAGCAAGTGGTTTAAGCTATATATTACTGTAAATTGGGAAGGAACATTCCAAAGAAGCAGTTTGGCATATTTGGAAGTAACAGCACCATTACAGGTTTGAGACCAGTGATGTGAGGTGTATCATGTTCTATATGGACTATTTTCCAGTTTTAGAAATGTATTTTCATCAAATTAATTAGGCTGCAATCCTGTATCCACCTTCCTAAGATTAAGCCCAATTGAACTCTGAGACTTACTTTGAGTAGACATATATAATGAATGGACAAAATTCAAGTCAAATTCGGCAACTGGAATGCATACAATACTGGTAAAAACTAGAATAAATCATAATTTTTATAATGATGTGACAGTCCTTAGGGAGTACATATGCACCCACAGCTCTTCTAGCATGCTAAAATGAGTAAAATGAAGTATTAATAGTTCATTTTTTTCTTAAAAGTTAAATAATGGTATGCTATTGAGTGGACATGACTTAATATATTTACAAGTATTCCAGTAAAAATAAATTTTGGGGCTTGTTTCAATATATAGCATTTGAATTGCACTAAGGCTGCTGTTCTACACCCTAACGTGCGAGAAAGTTCCATTCAATTCAGTGGTGTTTACTTCTGAGTAGATATAGGCTTGTACTATAAGTGAAACTTTTTTAAAAAATTCAAACAAATATTTATTTTGCTCTTTAATCAATTTGCTTGTAACTGGTAGCCTTGCTCCATCCTCTCATGAAGGGTTTTCCAATTCTATTGGTAAGCATTAACTGGAAATCCATACTTATGGATTATAAAAGGGAGAATGGAGTATTTTGATTGGCTGCTAATCTACATTAAGTGTTCTTGATTATGGAATGGACATTTGTACTCATCACCTAAGATGTTTAACACTGCTACGGTGTTAACTGTATTTCTTAAAAATATAAAATACAGTACTTGAAAAAGAGCTTTACACTAGTGATTACCAACCTTTATGGACCACTGGGCACATGTTGAATTTTGAGAGAGTGCTGCTGATGCTAGCCACAAAATACTTGCCATGAGGGGTGGAATAACACAAAACGGCTGCCATGGGGAATATCATATAACAAGATTAGATAGCCACTCCCAACAACTTTATGCTTACAATGGGAAGTCAGCTAGGACCTCCGGCTCAGGATCATAGAGATCACACCATTATACAATATTGATTTCACATGCACACTTTGATGCTGTTGCTATCTAATAGCAACAGGGAACATTTCTCAGTATCAGGAAAATGTATCAGGTGGCTGCAACACACACACACATTTCTCAGAAATTGATTAGAAGATACCTGTACATTTTGGCCCATAACTTCATTTCTAGGAGGGCTAAATCCTTTTTTAAAATGAAAACTCAGAATCTAGGACACCTGCCCATGGGCACCAATTAAAGCCTTTGTGGACACCAGGGACTCAGCTACATTGGCAAAGAAAAAACGCTCTACAGTATATGTGTTGTTTATGCATTCTAACACTGTAACACTCCACGCTGTGGAGTTCTGTTTTTGCTTACCCGATTTTTCATACAAAGTTTGCAATGTGTTTAACTGAAACGCTTCTTTCATGTGTGTAGATCCAGCCCAGGTTGCTGACTACTGCTTTACACCATTATTTTTAATTAATTTGTAGGGAATGCTTCTACTACTTGTTATTATTTATTAAATCTTTCCTCCTCTTGCAACAGGATAATGAAAAGCGGACCCCTTTACATGCTGCTGCGTATCTGGGAGATGCAGAAATTATTGAGCTACTTATTTTATCTGGTATGGTGCTTTTCTTGGTTATGGACAAGATGTGTGACTGAAACAATCATTTTACAAGTTCTGCAAATGTGATAAGAGATATGAACAATCCGTTTATTGAATTTAACCTTTCAGGTGTTTAATGTACACACAAAACTAAAGTTTTGGTCATCCATACATTTTATAAATTTACTTTTACACATGGTTGTTGAAGTGAATTGCAAAATGCCCAGGT